CTATCTGACCTGAAAGCAACAAAGCATGAGTATGGAAAGGTAGCTAGCCAATCTGAGGCCTGGTTCTCAATCATGGAAAAAAGCTGAGCTCTGATTGGTTTGCAGACCTTTGTGGACCTGGTAAAGAACATCCAGTGGGTTTTGCTGCATTATTTGTATCCCAAACCCAGTTACCGCCGGTGCCCAGTCCTACTGGGAAGCTTCAGCCTCGTCCACGCTAAGTGTGTCTCTCTGCTAAGTTATGAGCATGCCTAATTGCCCCAAAAATCACTGCCCCTGGCCTACATTCTTTGAAGATAGTTGAGGTAAGGGCATGCCAGATGGTTCTCTGGAAGGGCCGCCTGATAGAGGATCTCCACCCCTGATCACTCCAGCAGCACCTGTACTATCAGTAGTACACCATACACTGGCATGATAAAGTACAATTTGCTGTTCACAGATCCAGATTCAAACCAAGAAGATCGACCTGAGTCATGTGACCTCCAAGTGTGGCTCCCTGGACAACATCCGCCATCGCCCAGGTAACCAGCGCAACTGCCTTAGCTGAGATTATGGCCTGCAGCAGCACCTACTGGCCTGAATGATCTTATCTATAGTGATATTTAAATCCAGTATCTGATTAACAGACCAGCAGAAGAAGTACAGTGTGTTCCTCCTGTGAAAAAGCTTTTCCTCTCACCCCGTCTCCCTGGCTCTGTCTCAGGTGGGGGTAACGTGCGCATCGAGAGCGTGAAGCTCGACTTCAAAGACAAGGCCCAGGCCAAGGTCGGCTCTTTGGAAAACGCTCACCACATCCCCGGCGGAGGGAATGTGATGGTGAGTGGAACTGTGGAGGCAGTTCAGATGACAAACTGCCGGGATATTAGATAAACTGGCTTACGTTGCTCAGGGTTGCCAGGATCCTATACCAGGGAGCCTAGGGTACACGGCTGGGGTACAAATGAAGAGGCATGTCAGTCTATCGCAGGGCACATATGCATGCAGACTCAGTCACACTATCTGGGTAATTTAGAAATACCAGTCAGATATTTCTACCTGACTGGTGCAGGATTCAAACTCCCAACCCTGGAAGTGTGAGGCAAGAATTTAAATAATGCAGAAAGATGTTACTGTTTTATGAAGCTGAATTCACTTTCGGTGAATGGTGCACGGTTGAAATCCCAGGGTCGGCAGAATGATGTCACTGTTGGGCCCTTGAGCAAGGCCCTTAATCCCCAATCGCAACAGGAATCGTCTGACCCTGCAGTCCCAAAAATGTACGTCACATTGGACGAAAGCATTTCCTAAATAAATAAAAATGTTAAAAAATATAAATGAAGGACATCTAAGCTGTTTTAGCTCAAAACCCCATTTTACCCTAAACGCGATGTATTTCTTTGCTATAAAAGAGGCAGCATGTAAGAGGAATGATTGCATGACCTTCAGTAGAAGCACATCGGATCAGGGAACTCTTTGCTGGGGAGGGATTTTACCTTTCAGGGTTTATGGAGTCTGGGAGTGGAGCTGTTTTGACAAGATCATACCATTCATAAAAATAAATGAGGACGTGAAGTGAATTAAGGGGAGTGACTGTGCTGTGGGGTCGTGCAGGGGTCATCGTGGGACAGAGCTGCATCTCAGCGGGACCTGGGCAAACGCTGACGCCTCTCCTGTCTGCCCTCAGATCGAGAGCCACAAGCTGTCGTTCCGCGACTCGGCGAAGGCCCGTGTGGACCACGGCGCAGAGATCGTGACGCAGTCGCCGGGCCGCTCCGGGGGCGTCTCCCCACACCGCCACAGCCACATGTCATCCTCCGGCAGCATTAACCTGATGGAGTCGCCGCAGCTGGCCACTCTGGCAGAGGACGTCACCGCCGCACTGGCCAAACAGGGCTTGTGAGCACCAGGCTCCGCCCCTTGCTGCAAAAACCCCGCCCACCCAGTGACACCCTTTCCCGCAGAAGCCGGCCGGCCTTGTTGTGCGGGAGAGGGAGGGCGGTCCTTTGGGTTTCGGTTACATCGGGAGGTGCATTGTGCGTCGTTTTCTTATTTTCTCTCCTTAGTTTGACTTTTTGTGGTATAGGTAGGTACTGCATCCCCAAACACTGATCCACGGTCAGTTTTTGGCTGTCGGCCTGGAAAAGTTTGGGTCAGAATTAGGAGCTGGGTGGCTGGCCTCGGTGCCCCCCCCACCCTTGCGTCATGACCGTCCCGACGCAGTGCTGCGGTTTCCGTGCAGCACGTGTTGCTCTGCTCTGTCTGTGCATGGACAACAGGTACAAACACTCATCGCCAGCCGCCTTTCCTATAAAGTCACACTCATCTGACATCGACTATCTATCCTATATATACAGATATATGTATAAATATACCAGGCTTCTTGTCAGCAACATTGCCGCAGTTAAAAATATGGGAGAACACCTCAAATTCCTGTTCAATTGCATTATTGCAGGACTTAGATTATGTTATGATGCGCATGTGTCAATTATAGTGCAAAAGAGGTTATTTTCTAAACAGAACGAAGGATTTTACTAAGTTATTTCCTAAATCATCGACCGCGATGAAAACTTTGTGTTTTGTAGACATTAGTGATTATGTTAGACTTGTTGATGACTTGTGATGATTTCGAGATCACCTGGGGGCTTCGGTCTGCCTCCCAAAGCGACAGCGTTCTTTAAATAATCACCGGTGTGTGTCCGAACGGATCTGCCGCCAGATTCCGTGAGCCCGCTGGGAGTTGTCCACTGTGAGTTAACCTGGTGTAAGTTACAGATTTCCTGCGATTACTGGCAGAGCCTCGCTGCTCACGGGTCAGGTGGCTGGACACCGAAGGGTTCTGAGTAATTAGTCAACCACGGAGCGTTCAGACCTTCACGGCCTGACGCAAAGTGTCATGACAGGGCAGTCAAAGTGGACTGAAAGTACAGCTGAGATGGCAGAGTGTGCAGTCATCTCAGAAGGTGTGTTGAAGTTATTATTTATATTCTATTACTGTTCAGTTTAGGGAGCAGCTGTTCTGGACAACAAACCTGCTCCATACTTGTGTCTATTCCAGTGACATTAGATTGCTAGATTTGTTTTGTGTATATATTTAGGGTTAAAAATAAAAAAGGAACATTAAAAAAGCAAACAAAAAAATAAGTCACGCTCACCTTGCATCTGTTTGATAAAGTGTTATGGTATATTTTCCTGTCACCATCTGTGGTATTTGGGAATTCCCAATGTACGGTCTGCTATGGTGTTCTCCTGCCCTACCCCCTGTAAATGTATTTAGGCGTTCATGTAGATGTTGTGGTCTCCCCTGTTGAGACCACTCTGATAACATGTGCTTTTAAAAATAACCACAATAAAGACAAAACATCAGCATGATATACTTTCTGGAACAATCCAAAGTACTGACCCACTTTTCTTTTTAGTGCCAGATGTTTTTGTGATGCAGAATGATGGCCTGAGTTGTGTGTGTGTCTGTGTGTGTTTGTATGGGCATGTATTTATTACATTGTAGGGACCAAATGTCATAGAATCCTGTTATCTTGACATTGTGGGGACAATTTTTTTGTTATATAAAAATGTGTGACTGCAGTCGAAAAACTAAAAATGCCTTGAATTTTGTTTGGTTATTTATGGTTAAAGTTAGGGCTGGGTAGGGGTTAAGGCTGTAATTGTTGGGATTAGGGTTTTGCCCATAGAAATGAATGGATGGTCCCCACAAAGACATGAGTACAGGTCTGTGTGTGTGTGTGTCTGTGTGTTACTATGTGATGTGACTTTTATACCACACATGAAACCTGGTTTAACAAACACATCCAGAAACAAAAGCACACGCATGCACATGCACACACACACACCCACACACACACACACACACATGCGTGTGCATACCCATAAGTCCTCTAGGAAAGACATGCATTGTGTGAGGTTGCGAAGCTCACTGTCCCAAAATGCACTGTGGTAAATCTGTAAGTGGTTTCCAGAGATTGCTGAATGAGAAAGGGGTCTGTTTTTCCTTCAGCTGATCATTCTGCACCGAAACACGTAATTAGCAGCCTCTTACGCCACCACATGCTCGTTAGGTGTCCCTGCAGCCATGCGGACCAGCCCCGCCCACGGGCAGCCTGATCACACGGATATGCTTTGGCCAGCACTGCTGTCCTACATCCATGCAGGTTGACGACGCCTAGCGCCTGGACGTGTGTGACAGCACTAAATGCTAAGTAGAAGCAGCCTTCTGCATTTACAGATTCTGCACGTAAGAAGAGAGTGAGCAGTGAGCTGTAAGTGTTTTGAAGATCTTAAAGATGTGAGTGATCAGGCAGAAATACCAACGCATGTGCAGTTTCTTCTCCGTTGTCGTTTCAGTTGTCCATCAACCTACATAGAAGAAAATAAAGACAAAAATAGTCCCATTGTTACTGTAGTTCTGCGTTCGTGTCACTTATCGCTTGGTTAGCAGTTAACTTAAGCACTAAAATCACTAATGTTTCATACGCTAGCAGGAGCAGCCCAATGCACTCCTCGCTTGTGATACACTGAAGCACTTGAGGCAGGCGATGATCGTTCATTATAGAAGCGGCTTTTGATCTGAAAGCGAATACCGCAAAAGCTGACCGAGGAAAAGAGATGATTCTTGTTAATTCAGGTCCTTTAAATAACACTGAAGACACATTCCTTGCAGGTCGTTTCTTGATTATGGATTAGCAGCCTGCAGTAATGCAGTGCTTAGACTGGGAATAACGATGACCGACAATGGAGGTGGCAGTGATATCCATAATGAGATGTCTGAGTAGGGTCTTGATAAGCCTCCACCCTCGCCCCAGGAGCTCCGCCTTCCACTGAGCGCGCAGGGCGTGATTGAGTGGAGTTGAGCTGGCCCTGCCCCCACCCTGGTGCTCGCCAAGATAATTCACACCTCTCCTTCGCTTCGTGAGAACGTGACGAGCGACCGAATCCTCCCTGCTGCCGTTTGTCCCCCGGCCCCCTGCTCCTCCTCGCAGAAGCCAGGAGCCGGCCTGCCTCAGCAGTATCTCCTCGTGCTGTTCAGCTTCTTCTCAAGCATTCTGCTCTCCTGTGGATTTCAGAAGAACCTGAAGCTGCAGCAGGTCTTGGTGGTGTGGGGGGGTTGTGTGGTGCTGCAGGGCACACTCAGTTGATGAGAGTAGTTCTCATGCACTGCTCACAGTCTGTGCAGCTAATTTGCTGTTTGTGTGGATGTTCAGTCAAGCTGTTCTAAACACTTTTAAAAATCAACCCGTTTTGTATCTATACATAAATTCACATTAAATAATCAAACAGGAACAAAGGGAAAATATAATTGATGTGATCATTGTCGTCTTTTCCCGTTTAATAATAATTTATAGGAATAGTCAAAAGAAACTGGAGAACACAATTTCACATGAGACTATGGGAGACAGTCACAAGTTGATGGTTGGAGGCTGTTGACACATAACTATGGCAGTCTTATTACGGATGGAGAGTCAGCGGAAAGGCAAGTATTTTAAAACGTGGATGATATAGCAGCTTAAGAAGTCGGTAAAGCTGACTTCAATGTCAAATCGCGAAGCTTTTATAATAGATATAGGTTTTGTCAACAGCTCATCCAAATGGCAAAAACGGCCAAAAAAAGCACCTGTTGAAGGGTATTTAGGGCTTAATGAAGGGCCGACAGCTTGACATTCCCCCCATTCCCTGCGAGTCTGACTAACGGGCGGGCAGCTGCCGTACTGCGTCTTTAAGCCGGTGGCTCTGGCGCTGTTCGCGGAGGGAGGTGCTGAAGCTGGAGATCCGCCGCCGCCGCCGAAGCCGCTCCGCGTCTGCAGCCATTTTCCGCATCCCGGGCATCACCTGGACCGGCGGTCCCGAGCCGAGGGGAGCCGAACCGGGCCACGATGGTTAAGAGGAAGAGCTTGGACGACCAGGAACAGGAGAGCAGTAGGGGCATCCCTTTGCCGATCCAGACCTTCCTGTGGAGGCAGACGAGGTTGGTATGGACGCGGCTGATAACAGGTGTCTGGAGAGAAGTGGCTGCTGCGTGTTCGGCATCGGCCAGCCGGACCTGCGCTCACCTCCGGGGGAAGGTTTTAGTCCGGTAAAGCGGAGTAAAAAGCGCTCGGCCGGTGCCAGTATTGGCCGAATATTAGCTCCGCGGGTTTCGCACATCCTGACGGAGATGTCATCTTGTGCTCGGTGGTATACTCATACATATTAAAAATGGAAATAAGAAATATTGCGATTGATTTAAATGGTCTGATTTAACAGATATGTTATTTGGCGAGGAGAGACGTGTGCTGTCAGTGGACTAATGCATTAAAATGCAAACATGAATCCCAAAAAAAGAACACCGGGATCCGGCGGGATTAAACACACTTTTACTGGTGTTGTTTTGTCCTTGAGAAAAATGAACTTCCGTCAGGCGTAGGACAGAGGATTTCCATGGCGTTCTGCACGAATTATCCGGGCATGAGTCGGTGGGCATTTAGAAAAATGTCAGTCACATCGGTTTTGCACGAACCGACAGTGTTTGTTCTCCTGTTTGCAGCGCGTTTCTGCGGCCGAAATTGGGCAAACAGTATGAAGCCTCCTGTGTGGTAAGTGATGATTTAAAGCTCGCCAGTGTGGCTGAAAACCCCAGTTTGCTGACCTCACCCAGCTCCTGAACCAGTAACGGGGAATTACGGAGTTAACTCTTGTGATGTGCGTGCGTGTTTCGAAGCTGATTAAGAATTGACTTATTTCCCTGGGTGTATTCTCTTTTTAAAATATTATTTAGTGTTTTAGTGCTATTAAACACTTATCTGAAATGTACAGTGACGTTAATCTTCCCTCCCAATAGTCCTGGTATGGTTCTAGTTAGCATAGGTGGGTTTAAGCGCATAACTTTGGGTTGGGGTTTTGGGGGGGGGGGGGGGGGGGTTGTATTGCCTGGTTTGGCTTACTGGGGGGGTTACAACCCCCAACCCCCTCATAATGTATGCCAGTGTTTGTACTATAGATCACAAGAATGAGATGTATTAAAGACAACTGGAAATGGACCAGTAACGGGAGCCAGTTTTAGTGACAGTGATACAGTAAGATATGAATAATGAGCAGCTCCCTCATAATAACTGCTATCAGTACATTGATTAAAATGACAGACACTAAGATTGTGTCATTGAGGGCGCAAATGTACCCATTTTATTAAGTACACCTGCTTATTAATGCAAACAGCCTGTTCCTCAAAGGATGAATCTCGGGACGGAAACACAGTCTATGAAGCTATCGGACTGGGTCAAGAGGCTCAGTTACTGTGCGGCTAAGCTTTAGCGGCACCAAAGCGATTTTAAACGCGGCGTGATTGTCGGTGACAGACGCGGCGGTTCCAGCGTCTCAGAAAGAGCCTCCTGGGGTTTTTCACACGCTACGGCGTCAACATTCTCGAGTCGCATCTGGGTCCAACCCAGCCAAGGCCGCAATTATAACATATAATGGAGGGGACATGTTCCCCCCAATATTCAGATGTGCTTACAATGTTCCCCCCCAATATATATTATAATTATGGCCTTGGTCCCCCCCCCCAATGTCGACTCCATGGCGATGGCCTTGGTTCCAGCACTAAATGGCCACTAAGAGTACATTTTAGAGTGCTTCCTCCTATTCATGTTACTAGCAATGTGGCTTGACACATACCTGTCGTATTTCATCACGGAGACTGTGGATTGCAGTAGATCTTCTGCCAGGCCCTTTTCAGATCACCCCCCTGACCTCTCATTGACTCCAACCCCCCCCCCCAGTCCTTTGAGCGTGTCCTGGTGGAAAACAAGCTGCACGGCCTCTCGCCGGCCTTGTCCGAGGCCATCCAGAGCATCTCCCGCTGGGAGCTGGTCCAGGCTGCACTGCCTCACGTTCTCCACTGCACAGCCATCCTGCTCTCCAACAGGAACAAGCTGGGTACGCAGCCGACCCCCCCTCTATGGGGGACCTTCTCTAGTGCTGCTGCAGCAGAATATGTCACATTGACCGCTTCCTACTGTCATCCTTTAAATAACACTGCATTTGAAGGCACATATATATTTTTTTTCTCAGACGGTTTATAGATTTATTAGTCTTTTCTATAGATTTATTTTCTTTTCATCTTGAAGGTAATTCTACGTTAGATGTAAAAAGTGCTCCTTTTTGTACGATCATGATTGCTCTGCCTCTCCTTTGTGGTCAGGGCCTCACCAGAAAGGCACATGTTCCGTTCCCAGGGAGCTGTGCCTCTTGTTATTCTTTTGGGATGTCAGGATGACTTATAGCCTCAAACGCTTGTGAAATGGCCTTTTCTTCCAGAGGGCAGCAGTAGATTAAAGATATTATTAGGTTAGTCTAGTAGACCTGCCCCAAAACTAATTAATATTAAGCCCGTGTCGTGACCTCTGACCCTTAACCTCTGCCCCTTGACCCACCCGTCCACCCCCAGGGCACCAGGACAAGCTGGGTGTGGCGGAGACCAAGCTGCTGCACACCCTGCACTGGATGCTGCTGGAGGCTGCCCAGGAGTGCCACCAGGAGGCAGGCCTGGGCCATGGCTGGTCGGGCAGCGGAAGCAGCGCGTTCCTGCAGCCGCTGGGGAACCAGGGCTCCCCGGGAGGTGCCCCCCGCTGCAGCGGCTCGCTGGACGAGGACGAGCATGCCCGCGCCAAGTTCTTCCACAAGAGCATGGCCACCGTGGAGCTCTTTGTCTTCCTCTTTGCGCCGCTCGTCAACCGCATCAAGGTCCCGCCCCCCTGTTCCATCCCTGGGGACCGCCTGGTATTGATCTGTGTGGATGGGGCTGAATGGTCTCGTGGTAGAGAAATCGATCTGGCTCCCACTTCTCCCACTAACTGGCAGTGTCAGATTCCCGTATAAAACGGTGATTCCTGGGGGAATCAGTTTATGCTTGGTGACGGATGGATGGTGCTTAGCTGGCTCCGGCCCCATAAACACTATCCCAAATCATCAAGGGGAGGCAGGAATTCCTTTAGATCAGTCGCCCACACGGCGTCCACAGGAGGGCTCCCAAAATATGGGGTCTGGGCGTGAAATTCCGTGCCGTGTGCCAGAGGATGCAGATGGGGCCTCGACACATTCAGGGAGGTGGAGTTGCAGTGCCAGCCTGTTTCTGCCACAAACTCATTCGGGTGCCTTACGGCCCCACGGTGTGTCCCACAGGAGTCGGACCTGACCTTCCGGCTGACCAGCGGGCTGGTGATCTGGCAGGCCATGTGGGAGCACCGGCAGCCCGACGTGCCGGCCTTCTCCGCGCTCATCAAGCCCGTGAGGAACATAGTGACAGGTGGGCCGCCCCGGGAGCCGGCACGGCTGGGGACGTCCCCCGCCGTTCTGTCCCTGAGCTGTAGATTGTTCTGTTGGGCCGTGACTTGCGTATGCAGGAACCTGTGTGTGATTTTAATTAGAGGCCTGTGCATGTGGGGCTCACGGTTGGGCGAAATCTGCACTGGGGAGCTGAAAGGTGTTGAGGCGAGTGAACACAGGCGTGTGAAACCCTCTTAAAACCCGCTCGTGTGTCAGTGCTTAATGGTGTTTTGCATGCGCCCTGCCATTGTGGACACCAGCCATCTCTCAGCCTGTTGTGTTTGTCCTCTGCAGCCAAAAGGAACTCGCCACCCAATAACCAGTGCAGCCCCGGTGGTCCCAGTAACCCTGGTCCAATGGTACGTGCCTCCCAGCCTTATGTGACCATCACCCATCTCCTCTGGGATGCTTTCTCAAGGGGACGGTTTTTTTTAAGGCATTGTTAGTTATCCGCTGATTAACTCTTTTGGTTTTCTCAGGGTTTCCAGGTGGTGTGTGAAACCAGCCAATCAGATTTCTCCCCTGTGCTGACGGGCAGGCAGAGCTGTCGACGCGGCAATTCTGTGGAAGGAGGCGGGCCTTCACAGCAGCTTCCCCGGGACAGGGGGGTGGCGCAGAAGAAGTATGTTGATGAGCACTGAAAAAAGCACATTAACCGGCAGTGCCGAGTAGGAGACTGATCTCCATCTAAGCTGCTTGTTCATTAGATTCTATGTGTGGCAGGTCTTTCATTTCAAATTGATTCCTGAGTAAGATGGGGACCCAGGCTACCTCCAAGCCCCTGGTTTCCTGGTGTCTGGGTGAGGGTGGAGGACCCCGCACACGTCCAGCTTGCTGGCACTCCCGAGTGCGACTCAACACGCCCCAGGCGCCGATAACGGGACCCACACCGGTTTTACCGGCGAGATAATCGCGCGGAAGTAATCGGGCTTGTTTTCTTGCCCGCTTTCGGCGTCGAGAGCTTAGCGGAGCAGGAATCTAACACAGCTTAGCGCTCGGCTCCTGCTCTCCGCAGATATTGCATCATTTATGACCGGACTTGCAAGTATGGTAAAGTATCGCATGCGTTTTTGTCGCAGATTAAGTATAAAAAGCACATGGTACGACGAGCTTGTGTCAGTTCTGCCTCGAGGGCCTTCAATAAGCCTTTTCTCAAATCCATTTATTTGTGATGGCAGATGAACTGGGGCTGATTCCACTTTCTAATCCCGTCAGACGGCAGTTAAAGATGTCTGACGCCCGGCCTCATCTTGTAAAGTCTGCGTTCCTTGTCTCTGCTGTAAAGTTAAAGGTCACGTCTGCGGCTTGCTGTGTAGCCGCCGTGTTCGGAAGTGAGGATGAGACTAGAACAGAAACGGAACCAGTTCAAAGTCACCGAGCCATTCATTCTGGCCTGCTTGCAGTAAATCGGGGCTGTCTCTGGGGTCCACAGAAAAACGACTCCTAATAAGCTCAGAGTGGGAACCAATACCATAACGTCATTATGACTAAGCCCCTCCTTCACCTCTAATTCCATATCTGCACCTTAGTTTCCACCAATCAGAGGAAGGAGATGAGCACAGAAAAACTGCTCATTAGTGGAGTGAAAGGAGAGGGCGACTGCTTCTCTCTGCTAAAGGGCTTCTTCCTTGGAAGTCCCGGGACCCAGGGGACAGCAGGTCTCTTCAGACAGGCTGAATTTGTTAATGACTTTGGAGGAGCAGGAGTCAAATGTAATCACACCGAAGATATGGGAGAGGGTTGGGAAGGAGCTGAAATATTAATGCTGAGAAATGCAGCTCCAAGGAGCGGAAGGGCTACATGGACTAGAATTAAGGCCTTCATCTGTCTTTTAATATGATGGCCTTCTTTTTCCTTTATTATTAAGGCCTAGATTTTTCTTATCGTTAGTGCAGAACAACAGTTCTGTAGAGCTGATTAGGGAGGAAGACAGCCAGGGAGAGTAAGGTAGGGCTGTGTGAGGCAGACAGACAGGCAGGGTAAGGTGAGGCTGCGTGAGGCAGACAGACAGGGTAAGGTGGAGTTATTTGAGGCAGATAGATAGGCAGGGTAAAGTGGGGCTGTGCGTGGCAGACAGACAGGGTAAGATGGGGCTGTGTGCCCCAGACAGACAGGCAGGGTAAGATGGGGCTGTGCGTGGCAGACAGACTGGGTAAGATGGGGCTGTGCGCCACAGACAGACAGGCAGGGTAAGATGAGGCGGTGCGTGGCAGACAAACAGGGTAAGATGAGGCTGTGCGCCACAGACAGACAGGCAGGGTAAGATGAGGCTGTGCGTGGCAGACAAACAGGGTAAGATGAGGCTGTGCGCCACAGACAGACAGGCAGGGTAAGATGAGGCTGTGCGTGGCAGA